GTTTGGAGGTACAGGTGAATGGCGGGAGGCTGAGGAAGGACAGTACAGGTGAGACTTTCACTGACATACGGAGCAAAGCTAGATCCCACTTTATGTCAAAAGCTCTCAGTGTTCAAAGTTTTTTAAGATGCAAGACAAAAATCCCATGGATGTCAGTGGACTCTGGAGGGGACAGAAATGGTCAGAAATATGCAAATTATTACAGAATGAGCATGTGGTCTGGTTTCTCCACAAAATACTTTCCTCTCTAATAACAACTTGTCAGATGCTTGTAACTTCCGAAACATTTGCACAGGGAATTGAAATTTTCTAAGACTTAAACTAGGGCAAATCCCTGTTGCTTCTGGTTTTAGAGATAAAGAAAATGGTAGAGTAGGATGGGGACTGGGCCTCTTTTATCAATTTAACTTAACCTTTCTTTAGGAGTAACAATATAAAATATGCCGCTAGGTGAAACACAAAACACACAGTATTTTACCAAAGATATTTGTTGCACTTTTTGAGCAGTGCATCAGTACTGTGCTGAGCCCATGCTTGTGGATCTCTGTATTTCCTATGCAATTTTTAAAACACCATGCTCTGAAATTTTCTGATGACCCCGATCCAGCAAACACCTTTAGCATGTGGATGATCCAGGTGAACTCAATTGTCACAGGGAAGAACCTTGCTAGATGGGGCTGAAAACGCTTGAATGGGATAATTCTTTTAAAGGATGGCTATACACCTTTGAGTGTTTGGATTGACAGAGTGTATTTTACCTTGAACCTGGGTAGATACTATTCTTTATAAAGACTGTTTTTCAATTACTTGCAGAGACATATCTGGTCTTATTACATGAAGGCAAAAACCACACTAAACGTTATTTTTGTAAATGTTAGAAATTATTTCAAAAGAAATATTACAGGTTGAAGTAAAGGGGAACATGACAGAAGGACTGAGATTTTTATTGGTTTCAAAGAGAAGTGTGCTCTTCTACAAAAAAAAAAAAGAAAAAAGGCTTTCTTCCAAAAGTCTGAAATTTTCAAACTACCTTATTATTATACCAGAATAATATTTTAGTACCACATACTGTCTTATTGCTGAGATACTTTGAAAATTTCAGACTTTCAGGAAAGCACACTTTTCTCCCCCAAAAAATTGTTATCATCAGCTGTGAATCATTATCTAATAAATAGAGCGGTAGCCTTAGCAATAACGGTATATACAGAAGTGCAGTGGTACAACAGTGATGGTTACCATACAGCACGTTCTGTACACAGGTTCTAAATCTGAAACCCCAAGGCTAAGTAAGTCTATTTATTTATGCTATAATTTTACTATCAAGACGGAGTCATTACATAAGAAAAACATATGTTAAATTACTGTGCAAAGAAGGAAACCATATTTTTTGAAACTCCTTTGCTTCAGAGAGAAAGTTTGCATTAACTGTCGATGGGTCGTATGAAGGAAACCAGACCCACAGGCTGACCTCCTGCCTCTGCCCGGCCTCCCCAGCCAGGTTCCACTACATCAAATATAATCAGTCGACACTCACTGTGGCTCTACCGCGGCGGAGGCGGCTCAGCAGGGTACGTGATCGCTGCTAACATGTAGTTGGTTCTTTGCTATGTGTTTCCCTGGGGACCTTTAAGACCTGAGTGCATGTGCAGGTCTGTGTGTGCAGGGAACTGGTAAAGTGCATGTATATAAATGAAGCAGGGGAGACTGCTTTTACTTCTTGTTTCTCCTTTTTTGTATAATTATTCTTTATTTACCCTTTTTTCCAGTCTATATCAAGTCAAAATGAAAGGGATATGAACGAGTCTGTGACTCTAGCTCTGAACTCACTTCCTATACAAGAGAAAATAACAATAGCAGAGGTGAGAATAAGACTTTCTTAAAGAAATACAGCCCAACACATGTTCAGCTTGGTGGGTGATGAGAGTCTTACAGTTCAGTGTTTCAGTATCTGTCAGACACGACGCATGCTACAGTGAAAGGTGTGAATGACAGTCACTTTGCAAATATGCAAAATTTTTTTTTTTTTCATTTGTTGTGCATGTGGTTCCATGCATGCTGTTCAATTCTGTTCTGAATTTAAACTAATTTCCTACGGACATATCTGATATGTTCATCAACACAGTATGTGAGCTAACAGCAATGAATTAAGATTTATATTTGCAGAAGGAAAACCTGAAGCAGAAGATAAAACGGAGAACATCCATATGCCTGCGGTTCAAATACCCAGCTTTTAGTGACCTTCCCAGAAAATGAAGGCTGAACAAGGTGTTCAGCTATGAAAAGCTGAGGGGCTCTAAGCCCACCTGGCTTGGGCAAATAGCCCATTTCTATTCGACCCAGACTGTACTCGAGCTCATTATAGCACTCAAAACCCAGACTATTGCTGGTTCTGGATTCTGCAGCTGCATTGCTGACTGCAAAGACAGTGAAACTCAGCCCATAGATGGAGGGGGGAGGAAGGCGCAGGGTTAATAACCTGAGCATGCTTACACTGTTTGTATTGCGATTTTTCAGGACAGGACAATTGACTTGTACACAAAGGCAAATGAATGGTAAGTGAGTCTCCAGCAAGATCTGATCCTGTAACTGGGAGACATATGCACCTACACAAAGTTCATTTGAAATCAGCAGGGGTCCACGCAGGCTCAGTTGTAAGCGGAGGTGTGTTCACCTTTGGGAAGCAGGCTTTTGTTTGCCAGGTTCTCCTTTTTCAGTGATAGAGAATTAAATCATGGGTCGCCTTTCCTTCAAGTTTCCAAGCTGTTAGTGCAGCTCAGTAAGTAGATCTCTATTTGTGTGCACTATTACGGCACAGATGGAGAGAGTAGGTCCACAAAGAAATCATGCTTCTGTACTACACAAACAAAATAACACCAAGGCATGGTAGCTGTTTCCCTAATCAACTGCGGTGCCTGTTCACAGCTAGATAACACAGCGGTTATCTAGCTAAAGATACATGTACCAGGAACTACTGAAACTTGAAAAAATAATTATATGAGGAAGTAAGCCCAGAAGCATGTTGTAGGACCCTTGTTACCATACCAGGACAGTATGTCATGTTCTGCTGTTCCTTCCCATTTGCATTCTTGCTAGCAGCTATAGAAGTTAGCAGAGGCCTGTCTGTGGTGTTGCTCTTTCTCATTCATTACATTATACTGTCCACGAACTGGCCTGTAAACACACTCAAGCACAGCTGGAGTTGACCAGGATGAACGATAATATAATAATATTTGCACCCTGGTCTTAGGACTCAGGGTCTGTGTTTCAGGCCAAGAAACCTAGATGCCCGCCTGGGGTTCGACCTGTGCACTGACGAACAGGATTTCCTGCAAAAACGGAGGAAGGTGGTTGCTGCTGCACTGAAGGATGTTCTTCATCTGGAGGAAGATCTGCAAGAGCATGAGGTAAACAGGAAAGGCACTGCTTGTGGATTTTTCTCTCTCCTTTCCCTCCAGCCTGGAGATGAGGAGTGATTTCTCACCTCCATGCAGATAAGGAGTGATGACCTCTGTCAGCAGCTCCTGCTCCAGGGCACTGTTTGCAGTCAGGGTTCTCAGCTGGAGAGCTCAACACTCCGTCTAGATGAGCAAAGTCTCTACTTCCACTTGGCTTTGAAGTGAATTGTTTGAAGGATCTTAAAGCAATGAGTTTGGTCCATGTTTCTTAAAAATCTCTTCTGCAGGGCCAAGATCTTCTAGTATACCCCACAGGGGTGTCTAGCAACTTCTGTTACTTATAACTAGTAGAGCAATGTTGCTTTATCTCTAAATCTACATGTTTTATTTTACTAGCATCTGGATGTTGCTTTTGCATGTGTGTCACCTTTTGACACGGATTGCCTTATTGCCACTTTTCCACCTATGCTCTCTGCTTTTTTTTTATGTTGTGCAGGTGCCTATATTGGCTGTGACCACAGCAGGATGTGGGATAAGAGCACTCACTGGCATGTATGGCAGCATTCTGGGTCTTCAAAAGTTGCGTGTTCTGGATTGTATTTCATACATCAGTGGCTCATCTGGCACAACATGGTGAGGAGTCATTTTGATACTGTTGTTTGGATCTTATTGTGTTAAGCAAAATCCATGCTTTGTCGAGGGTTTTGAATCTCAGCAAGCGTAATGGGGGGGGTCTATTGAGTTATTGCTTCCATTTTTGGTCTATGAATGCCAGGGTCACCGGTGAAAGGCCTGTTGTGCATCATACACTTGGTGTCACCAAAGTAACTTTTCCCTAACCCAAAGAGGAGGCTTCATTGGAAGTGCAAACATCCTTAATCCTATACAAAATGGTTATTTACTGTTGGACAGAAACAGCATAGATAGGTGGTGTAGCTGCTTCTGTTGGATTCCAGATCAAGCGACTTTTGACTGATTGACTTTAGACTTACATTTCTGCTCAAAGTAAGCTCAAACGGGAGAGTAACCTGAAGATAAAAAAAAAAACGCCCAAAGCTCTGCAAAGGATATCTTCTGAGTTTCAAAAGCATCTTCCTCATTTCTTTCCTCTTTCCATTGTGTTTCCTCCCTGCAGGACAATGACAAAACTGTATGAAAATGCTGATTGGTCACGTAAGGATCTTGGAGAAATAATTATTGAAGCTCGGAAGCAAGCATCTAAGTGCAAGATGGGGGCTTTTTGCTTGAGAAGTCTGAGGAATTATTACAGAGAGCTGAGCCAAAGGACCCAAGCAGGACATAAAACATCTTTTATTGATCTGTGGGGGCTTATAATTGAATCCATGTTAAATGACGGGGTAATGTCTATACATCTTTCTTCTCATAAAGTTTGCGACTTGATCTTTATGACCGTTACAAGAAACTAAAGCCTTAGGAAGAGACATCTGGCCAATAACGTTGCACTTGGTATGCAGGCAGAACACGACATACTTAGGTTAATGAATTGGAGACATAGTGTATATCTACACTGGAGCCTAAAGTGTGATTGAATGTAACATAGAAATGCTCAGACTCGCTCTGAAGTAACTAGCTGTCCAAGAAATTTTTGAGGGTCTCAGGAGTTTTTTTATGGCCCCATGCTTTTGTGTCTCTACTCCTGCAATATTTACATAAGCTGCAGTCATACACTGCAGATGGTACTATATATGTAGTTACTGCACTTTATGATTTAGTGATGAGAAAGTACAGAGATCCAGAGCTCCTGAGACTTGTTGGCTACGGAAACTGTGATTTTGCAGGTTCTTTTCAGCTACTTCGGATTTGATCTCTCAGGACGTCCTATTCCTGATTTTGTAATGACACATGCAAAACTTTCCATATAAAGTGGTAGACTCATGATAGATGGAGAAAAAGCTATTTTGTCTTTAAAATCCTGTATAAATACGATTTGTATTTTGTCTAGGTGAAAAAGATAAAAGGAAATACTCTCATTTCGTATCATATTTCACATTGTATTTCTGGCCTCAGCGCTACGTAGCAAAATTTGCTAGAATTTAATTTAGGTGAACTACACTCAAAAGCTCCATTTCATGTATAAGATAAGTTGTTATTATTGGACAGTTCAAGGATTTTTCCTCCATGGATGTTCAGTTTCAATATGGTTTAAAAAAAAACCTTGACTACAAGGGTCATTAAAATGCTGCCTTGAAGAACTTGTATGTTTTACAGCTGAATTACCCAGATCTGCCCTGTTTTTTCATTTACATTTAGCAATGCAAGGTTAGAACAGCAGTGAAGCAAGTCATTACTGCCATATACTGAATGTAGAACATGGCTTTTATCTTAACAAGAATTATTCCTGTTCCATGATTTTCTTGCCCTCTGTTATTCAAGCGCATGGAAATAAATTTGAGGAAATTCAGGAAATGTCTTTAAGGAACTGATTATCAGGTAATCTTTTGTTGTGGTTTTTTTTTGGTGTTTTTTTTTTCCCAAATCCAGAAATGCCACCATAGACTTTCTGATCAACGTCGGGCAGTAAATCAGGGCCAGAACCCGCTGCCCATCTACCTTGCTCTCAATGTCAAGGACAAAGTTGCCACCAAAGATTTTAGAGGTAATGTTTCCATTTTGGAAAAAAACTGATTTTACCTGGGGAGATACAGCATGGGGATACTGTAAATAATGAGAAATTGTTTTAAATTCTCACTCCAAGCCAGGAGAAGTACTATTCAGAGATGTAAAGAGTAACTGGTCAGCCACAGGATAAACAGCAAAGGTTCGGTATTTTGTAAAATCTCCTGGCATGTAAGTGTGCATATTCAGACATTAACTTCAGACTAATAACATAACATAGATCTGTGACACTGTCTCAGAAATGCTATGAATTCTTAAAGTCATTCACTGGAGATTTAAGTTTGCTTAATGTATATTTCTCACTGTTGGCTAAAGGCAACGAAAGCAATAGAAGTCAATCTGTATTCTAGTCCAACTTCCATGAGAAAACTTGCTAGATAAAAAGAAAGAAGTATTTAAATTTTCTGTAAGCCATGACGTTGTTCTTTCAGAGACCTCTAGACTGTGTGATAACTGGTTCAGAGGTGGATGTCAGCAGAGTTTTCTCAGAGCATGTGCTAAACCAGTCTGCCTATGAGGGCTGACACCTGAAAGGTTTATTCCACGTCTGGTGACTTAACCATTTTTAGTAGCAGAACAAAACTTGTTTATGTGTGTTGGCAGAGTGGGTGGAGTTCACGCCGTACGAGGTGGGCTTCCTGAAGTATGGTGCCTTCATTCGTGCAGAGGATTTTGGCAGTGAATTCTTCATGGGTCGCCTGATGAAGAAGCTTCCAGAGTCCCGTATCTGCTTCATGCAAGGTGACTCACCAGCCTGGGGGAGTGAAAAGATTTTAATACAAACAGTAATGGTTCTGGAAATTAGTCCCTGGAAACCTGTTGTTCTGCATGTGGCAGCAGAGGTACTGGGTCAGTCATCTGAAATTCAGCACACCTCCTGAGACTCGTTCAGCTGCCCTTGTTAATAAAGATGGTTTTATCACTTGGACTAAGACAAAATGAAACTAAAATCACAAATAATTTATGTACCTTCATGAGTGGTTTTGAAGGATCACCATTTCCGCTAGACTGCAAAACATTTTGAAAGTTGGAATTCTGTGAGACTTTGTGAAAGCTGAGGGAAATGTTGAGAAGAAATAAATAGGGCAAGAAAGAGGGGAATCAGGGAAGGACCGGACTGAATATACTTTTTTATCAAAGGAAAAAGAAAATAGCAAAATGACAATGTAAAATTTCTTCAAGGAAAAAATGTTCCCGGTAAACCGTGGTGGAAGGGAAAATACTCTGAAATTTCTTCTGAAATAAGTTTATGTTCCGAGTCAGCTCTACCACTGAAATAGATGCCTGGACTTATGCAAAACCAGGATAGAAATATGAAAAAGTTTGAGAAGAGCAGTGGAATGTGCAGGAGGCTGTTCTTAAAAGAACTTCCTTGTGTTTGCCTCAGCACTACTTATTATACCTCTCCCACCCCCCCTAGGAATGTGGAGTAGTATTTTCTCCAAAAACCTCTTGGATGCCTGGCATGCAGCTGACAATTCAGAGGATTTCTGGCGCAGGTGGACCCAAGACAAAGTGACTGAAATAGGTAAATCTGAAGTACCCTTTGACTTATCACCTCCCTCCTCCAGGCTCCCCTGATAGGGTAACTGTGCTCACATGTCTCATTTTTTGAGGTTTTTATGTCATCCTGGCACTCTCAGCCTCAGGGTATGGGAGGCACTGGTAAAATCAAGTGATATGATTTTACTGACTAGCCAGTGCCTTGCTTAAATAGTGAGATTGTTGAAGGAAAGGCACCATCAGACAATCCTTGATGGAAATGAGATAGGCATGGATACATAAAGCAGTTCCTAAAGTGTTGTATTTAAAAGGCTTAGAAACAAGAACTGCAGTAAAAGCTTCATGTCAACTATTTGTTAACCAGAGAGAAGCCGGAGTGTTTCCTTTCCGATATCTATTTGCCATTCACAGCATATCCCTCCCTTAAAATCAGACTGAACTCAAAGGTTTTGTAGAGTTCGAGGGAAGTCAATGTAGTGGAGCCCTATTACACCAGCTGAGAGAGGCAGCTCCATGCTGAAAGACCACTCCTTGAAAATACTCACGAGCATCTTCATGTTAAAATTCAAGCACAGCCAGTGATTTCATAGTGAACAGACTTGAGTCACATTTCTGTGGAATATGTTGTTGGAAAAAAAAACCCCTGAACTCTTATGTTTGTGTTCGTATAAATAATTTGCAATTTTGTGTTGAATTCAGCTGGCCACACCCAAACCAAATGGAAAAAACTGGGGGGTTAAAAAATAAAAATATTTCATTTAAAAATAAAATGTTCACATTTTTCTATTATTTTCAAAATAAGCTTTAAATTTCATATTTAACCTATATGGAATCCAAAAGTAGTAATCCTCTCAAATATATAAATAAAATTATTTTCCCTGTTTTTTTCATTTTCTTCAAAAAGTGAATTACTTCTATGTGTACTGAGATTATGTTGTTTTATGAGAAAAATGTTTCTTTAGTCAGATGTAGTAAATTGGGGTTTAGAAAACAGAAATAATTTTATATTTTTTTCAAGAAATTAATCAGGGCTTACAGGAGACCTGTAATGCTGAGAACTGTGAATACATGACTGCTCTTGGTACAGAAGAGTCACTGACCATTTCTTCTCTTTGCGCCTAGCCTCCTTTTAATTGTGGTTATAATTCAATTGCATGTAATTTATGACACATATCTCCAGAGGAACAACCAGACTTGCCTGAGAAGCCATACGAGATGGCTACATGCATGTTCACTCCTACGACTGGCCTCTCCACGTCTCTCCGGGATATCCTAACAGACCGCCCTGCCGTCTCCAAGTACCAGAATTTCCTGAGGGGCTTCCAGATGCACAATGAGTACATCGAGGAGAAGCATTTCACAACATGGAAGGGTGTGGACAGCACTCCTGCCTATGTGCTTTGGTGGATATCAGGGTGGGAGCAGGTGCTGGGATTAGCGAGGAGCGTATGTATGTCCTGAAGAGAACTGAGTGGGTTTTGTGGTTAGTTGTCAGTGCTTGCTGAGAGGAGAGGAGGGACAACAAAGTAACTCCTCACATCTTCCGCTTCCAGTAACACAATTGTTCAATTTTTGGGTCATTCAGTACCTCACTGAGATGAAAATCTCTGGGGTGGGGCTCTGCACATATGGAACGCCTAGGGTTTGATGCAGTTCACGAGTTTGGAAACACCTACAAACATTAAGGGAGAGGCTGAAGGGAGCTTAAGGATTCCTGCATGCTATCCTAAAGCAAAGGGAAAATCCTGGGTGGGAGGGAAGGTCACATTCCTTTTGCTTTCTAACTTGACAGCTTTCCTTCTGCGGTTTGGTAATAGTTCTGAATCTTTTACTCTTTAGACACTTTTCTAGACACATCTCCTAATGACCTGAGAGGCAACACAGAGCACCTGGAGTTGGTGGATGCAGCTTTCTTCTTTGAAACCAGCTGCCCACCCCTTATGAGACCAGAACGGAAAGTGGATGTCATCATACACTTAAATTACACTGGTGGCTCACAGACCTTGGTGAGAAGTTTCAAAATTGTCTCTGTTTAGTAACAGCTTTTCCTTTGCTTTCCGCAACTTCGACAAGTGTCTGTAAAATGTGGAACTTAATGCAATTTTGTAACATGGCGCTTCCGAACCTTAGAAGAAGAATGGAAAATCCCAGAGGGGAAAATATCTCTATTTTTCTCAAACTGCTTTTGAAACAGTCTTAAGTCCTCCACCAATGAAATACAGAGCAGCACAGTGAAGTTATGATGCTTGAGCTGCAACTTCTATTACCATCATATGTAAGATTAAATGGAACAAATATAGCTGGGAAAACTTTGTCTGTGCTTCAGATGCTGAATTTAATCTGCCTTTTCCTTAAACGTATAAGATTTTATTTGACACTTATTTTAACTTGTGATTTTCCAGCTGTCCAAGAACGACCTAGTGAGTGAAGAATTTCTTCATCTTTATTTTTATCTCTTATAGTAAATAAATTTTTTTTCTTCTTAAATAGTGGTCTTGAAGCAGGATATCAAATGCAGTTACTATGTTTGCAGAAATCTGATCTGGTTAAAATGGTTATATAGATTTTGAACGTGGTATTCACCAGATAAAAAGACAGATACAGACTTGTAATTGTAAAGCTGCCCCTGAAGGGCACCACAGAAAACATGAAGATCACTAGTAAAGGTTTTGTCATTTTTTCAGATGAAGATATTTTAATTCTGCTCTTACACTCTGGTGCCACATGAAAACCATTTGTCTCTACTGCAGCTGTTC